TTTCTTTTAAAAACGTAACTATTTATAATGCTCCCTAAATAATAAAAAATAAATTACAGTGAAAGCAATGAAGATTTTGTAGGTTTTGAACCAAACTAAATTACAGTAAACCTTTTTTGATTTATGGTATTTTCTTATTTTGATGTTTTGAGCTCTTTTGTGTTTAGAACAATATATACTAATTTTTGAAGTATCAAATTGTATTTTTGTTCATTAAAAATCTTTCAAATGCAACTGTAGCTTTTTTTCCCCCCCAAAACTTTGTCTTCAAAATAAGGATGCTTCTTATACACCGGTGCATTTTATATTCCGAAAAATACAGTACTTCTAGTATTTTTCCCAAGTATGTGTAACTGCTTTTGGACAAGATTAAAGTAATTCAAGGTTGGGTACATCCTGCCTATAACTTGTAACTATGTTAAGAAACTTACTAACATTTTATGAATAAAGGTATATTCGTACTCCATATCATGATGAGGTATAATTACGGTATCTGTACACCATAAAACTTTCAAACAGGAGCTCAAAAGATAAGCAGCAAATACTGTTACCAGCTACTTTCTCTCTCTAAGCTCTTAAGATTGTTTGATCTTTTCTTTCCTCTACTTTTCTCAGTCAGAGAAAACTGATGAACAATTTCCTTACCTTTCAGCTATGCTTCCACCACCCAGCTCTTCCACCCCATCCTTTTCGTCCTGGGTAAGTGGTTGTGTGCGGCTTCTTGTGGGTGGGAAAAGCTTGTGTCGTTCTTGCTCTGTACCACTTCCATCACTACACTCAGATGCAATCATGTGCTGGCTCTGCATTGCAAATGTTCTTTGTAGCTCTGCAGCAAGAGACTTCTGAGCTTCCATAGCATACACAGAAGAAGAAGATGCAGAGGACAAAACCTCGTGGCTTCGTACTTCATGCATACTTCTCCTGCCAAAACAAAACTTGTTAATATGTACAAATATCTAGAAAATCTACAAAATTTTAAGCATCACCAAGAATTTCATAAAAATGGTTGTCAAGGCTTTTGTGAGTGTATATTTATGAAAAATCATTAAACCTTCCTGAAAATAAATAATAATGCGATTATGACTCCCACAAATTATCACATGAAAATATGATCCATTACAATACATTAAAAGAGCAAGTATTTTAATTTGCTTTGTTTAACACTTTTTTTTTGTTAAACTTTACTTACATAAACATTTTTTGTCCCAACCATCCAAAGAAATGTACTGAAAGAAAATTTAACAGAAACAACTTACTCTTTTATAAATAAATTATTTTTTTTTTCTATAATTATCTGAAATAGGGTATTTTGAATCCTGGCCATTCAGCTAGGCAATCTATTCAATTACTTATGAGCAATGTTTACATAAACCAGTATCGTAAACAAATCGATTGATCAAAATTATGATTAAACCTATGTCATGAAAATAACCAACTAATTGAAATTAGCGGTTCTGATTATTACTGATTTAGACCACTTCAACAATCTATTAATATAAATTATGATTAGATTGATTGTCACGAAAATTAACATAACCATCTAATAAAACTTAAGACTTCTAATTATTACTCTTTTCAATCATTTCTACTATCCAAGTAATCAAAATATTCTATTATGATTGTTTGTTGTTAAGTACAAAGTTACATAATGGGCTATTTATGCTTTTCCCAATTTTAGCCTTATTATTATTATTATGTTGTTTTTTTTTGGGAGGGTGGGGGTGAACTGAGGGTGACTTGGTTCAATTCCCTTTGCCATAAAATTTTCTACCATGCCTTTGTTATGGCAAAGCTACTAAGCCTATCTGCCACTAATTTTGAACTACTGACTAGAGGAAAGGCAGCTGCCAAGACTGTACTAATCAATTAATGGAGTTGTTGATTAATTGATTAGCAAATACCACTAATCACCCAGCCCCAAGTTCATGGGTACTATCACTTGTTTCAAGAAATTGTAGAAAGTGAGAAAAAATCCTGCTCAACCACAGCTTTGTCAACTAAACAAGGGGTTCCCAAACTGAAAGCACATGAAAGTGTCTAGTGGAGGGGCTCATCAGAATGCAGAAAGTTCTGGAGAGGTCTTATGATAAGAAAGTTTGGAAACCCCTGGCCTAAACCAAGTCTCAATTATTATTTTCTAGTTTTGTCCTAAAGATCTAAACAAACATATAAAGATTTCAAAATCAAGTTATGCATAACCTACATAACAATATTTTGTGTTGATATCAGAAGTTATATCTATATATTTTAAATAAGATCAACAGCGAGCTTTAAAATTTCAGCCTCATCCCACAGTGCTTTTCAAAGTCATACCATAAAATTATCTAAATTGTTGTTCTAGGTATTTTATTTTGCACAAGTTATATTTGATAACAGAAAGTAATTTTAATATTATACAACTTTTAAATGTTTTACAAGATGTATAACATTATTCTCAGCAAAATGACATAATTTTTTTAATTTACCATTTTTTAATTTACTTCTCTCGTTACTCAACTTACAAAATTAAAAAGAGGAAAGATTTGAATTACACTGAATAATTATTTCTAAGAAAATGAATGTTCAGTCATAGGTTAACGGTGTTAACGAAGCATCAGGCTTACATTTGAAAAAATAAATTATCCATCAGAAAGAAATAAAAATTATATATAGTTTTAACTTATATTTGCCCATACATGATTCTAAATATCAGTTTATTTTTTTACTTCACAAAGATTTCCTTCTTTTCTATAAAAAAATTGCATTAATCATTTAATACTTGCTTTAGCAAAATATGAATAAAGCAGAAAAGAGTGATTGTGTATATTGTAAAGATCCCACTAGTATGCTCTTTTTGTCTAAAACTTTGGTAAGAAATAAACACAAGCATCTAAGAAAATCAATGGATAACAAACTTTACACACAAGTGACAATGAATTGAAAATACACTTTGAGTTAAAGCAAACAGTAGCTATATTTGACAGGATAGTGTCAAAGCAGCATAAAAAAAAAGGTAACACAGCCACCTGGCAGAGAATTCTTTTACACTGCTGGAAAAATAAAAAGAAAGGAACAAAACATTGTACAAGTAATTCTTAGAGGAAAACAAAAGGTCGGAGTTTTCTGGCTGGAAGGACAGTGCTTATATTATGTTGTAATTTATTACATTGCTTCATAAATGCAATACAAATATCAAGAATTGGAATAATTTAACTGTTTCCAAATAAAGCTGAATAATACCTTATGGCATTACAGAAATAATGATAAAAAAACGCCACAAAAGTTTAATAAAACGTACTTAAACAAACGAAACAAACAAAATCCATTATAAGGGGTGAGGTAAGAAATTTGTACTTGATCCTTTCCCTCCGACAATAATATTTGGTATGAGTATATCTTTACCGTTTTACTTGTCGAGTCTTATAAGTAATCAGCTAGTAAAGAACAAGAAAAAAAACAAGAACAAACTATTACACAACTGTTTTTATTGATGACTTCATTTCCGTGCATATTGTACCGTCAGAAAAATTAATTAAAACGGCGAAAATTGGAGGTCAGTAATCGTTGTGAAGCTTTATCGAGATCGTTAGTAACTTGTGTGGTATTTATGCACACCAACGAATTCCTCACGTTTCCTGTTTGATAATGAAGCCATACAAAACGTACAAAGAAGCGCATTATTTATAAATACACCACACGGTAGTACTTTCTTTTGTATTTTATGTCATTAATCATTCACACGCTAATGGTTTTTGTTTTTTTGCGTTCTTCCTGACAAGCACTGTGGTGAAGAGAACTTTCGGACAGATACAGAGCGATTATCAACCTAAGAATTTTTTGTTTATTTATTTTAATAACTTTACAACACATTATTAATATTAAACGATCCCTCTTGTTTTGTGATCAAGACAAATATATATATATATATATAAACAAAACATCTGGTCAAAAATAAGCTGTTTCGCTACAAGGATAATTAATGATTTTTTAATACATAATTAACAGGGTTCGTTGATAAAAATGTTCACAAACTGATCATGTACATAAAATCGATCATTAAAAAGAAAAATTTTAATGAGTCACTTTCATGAACTAAGCGATCCTATTTGTTGAATTTTTAATCAAACCTCAGCAATTAGAATAATATAATTGATGGAAGTAACTGTGTTGACCAGAAGTTAATTGAATGCCCGATATTTCACGCACATAATAATGTCCTATATTTATTTATGTTCTTACTTGATACATTATATTTTCCCAACAAAGAAAATCATGTGATCTGTAACGTGTAAATTCATTGGTATAACACAAAGTATAAAGGAAAAGTGGTTAAATACAGGTCTCTGGTTTTAAACAGCTCATCAGCATTAAAAATCGATAGAGTTCTTTAAAGGCAATGAGAGCGGATATAATACGGAAAGGGTTACTAAAGTAATAGAACAGTAACTTACTATATAAAGGATATGGAGAGAGCCTTGTTATGTGGCCATAGCTTCCAATCCGAGAATAGTTGAGCTCTGAAAATTTTTACTTTACTTCTCTCAAGATGTTGATAACATTGCAAACGTCATCTGCTAGAATTTATTTTCTCCGTGACCAAGGCAACAAAGGGGCATCAAGGAAAAGTATTCTTCACTATATGGTTTCATTACGCCAACTATATTAATATGTGCTATATAGCTGCATAAAAGCTTAAACGTGTAAGTAAGTACTAAACCACTGCAGCCCTAGATATAGCTTATGTGACTATGTGTATACACTGTAGTTTTGAGAGCAATACAATTTTGTTTAAAGAAAAGAAGCGGGTAGTTTTTAAGTAATGATACAAATAAATATTTAATAAACGGAATAACAAGCTTCTTTTTATATTACGTAAGCAAAACTGAAATAAATTTTAAGGGTAATATGTCCATCAATAACGACAATATACTCTGTCCCTTCTCTCGTTAGATCGCATTTTGGACTCGTCCTGTCACAGCCATCTCTGGCCTATTTGAGCATGTTCATGAAAAAACTTTATAATTAATAGCATGCGCATGCGTGTTCGTTTATATTAAGGAGTGGTCCACAGAAAATTTGTACTTATTTGACATGTATTTTATTTTCATATTGATGACACATGAATCATACGTTGATGTTAAGACTGTTCATTCATTCAGACTGACACAATGTTGTCGTTTAAAACTTTTTCTAGGGTTGTTAATTCTTCTTCAGTTAAGAGATCGAGTTTGTAATATTATCGATAACAGCAATGTGACGTAGTAATGAAAGTATACATATCATCTGACATTTGCATGTTGAATGAACATTATTTGCACAAAGAAAGCTGAATATGTCTAAAATGCACGGGGAAGTTAGTTATAACCACTAACTATATTCTCTGAGCTAGACTACTATGAAACATTATTTTACTGAAATTCGAACTACTCCTCTAACTGACACGATCTGATAAACGGATAATTTGTAAAAAGTTCTTTGACACTTCCGAGTTACTTTTGTTTTTTCGTTAGCTAAGAGACATAATTTTAAAATCGAAAGGGTATAACTTGCAAAGTACCATCCTCCCCTTCTTCCAGCTCTTTGGGATATGACTAATTGTAGTCAAGGCCATAATTTAATGTTTCCTCCTTCCAGTTCTACACAGGATTGTAGTTTTCTCTTCTTTTTTTTTTTTGCATGTTTTGGACTGAGACCCATTTTACTTATCATTATACTATTCATACGATATCATATTGTTTCAAAGTAGTTGTTCCTAATGTTTTTATACTGTGTAACCTCAGTCAGATCTCTGAGCCAACGGCGTACCCCTGATGTATATAATTGTAAAAAAATTGTTAAAGAACAACGACGTAAAATTGATTTATACTGATAAAATGGTAAACAAAACTAAGAGTTAACTACTATTACGAGAACGTTAAGTGCTTCCATCCAATGCTTTTCAA